GTGTGTGTGTGTGGCCAGCTCAGCCCACCAGGGGGCGGGGCTGGCTGGCATGTGGTGCTGGGGATTGAACCGTGGTCGCTGTGCTTTTGCTTAGCTTGTTGTAAGTAGGTGCTTTAGACCACTGAGCCGTCTCACCAGCCCTCCTTTTTGTTTTTGAGGACAGGGTCTCACTATGTAGTCTAGGTTGGCCTTGCATTCGCTATGTAGCCCAGGCTGGCCTTGAACTTGCAAAGATCCTCCTGCTTCAGCCTCTGGAGTGCTGGGATCACAGGCAAGCAACGCCACACCCGGCTGTCACCCAGCCTGGTCCCCAGTTGAGCTGCAACCCAGACCTGCCCCAGCCCTCCCTGAGCTCACTCTGTACCCTGACCCCTTGTGTATCCCAGTTTGCCTGGGTCTTGTGTTGCGCCACCAGCCGATGCCGTGCATTGTGATGCAGATGCACAGAGGCCTTGGTGGCCCTGCCAGCCAGGTTGCACCATCCATCCAGAGAGCCTCGGGCTCTGGGGACACGACTGATCCCCTGTGTGATTTTCTCCGCAGGCGAGGTCTTCTACGTGGGTCCGGCCCGCCGCTTGACTCTGGCGGGTGCGCGTGCTCAGTGTCGCCGCCAGGGTGCCTCACTGGCCTCGGTGGGACAGCTGCACCTGGCCTGGCACGAGGGTCTGGACCAGTGCGACCCGGGCTGGCTGGCGGATGGCAGCGTTCGGTACCCGATTCAGACGCCACGCAGGCGCTGCGGGGGCCCTGCCCCGGGCGTGCGCACCGTGTACCGCTTCGCCAACCGCACCGGCTTCCCTGCGCCCACCGCGCGCTTCGATGCCTACTGCTTTCGAGGTGAGAACAGCGGCAAGCAAACCACGCCCTGGGGCGTGTCTCTCCTGCTCATGCCCACGGGCGTGCACTGGGTGGGCCCGGACCCAACTGAGCTCACAGACCACTCCGTGGGCATGGTATGTTTGAAGCCATGCCTTTTGGTGAAAAGGCCACGTCCTTGGCCAGTTCTCCCTCTGGGAACCTGGCAATGGGTTATGGGGGGGGAGGGGAGAGGCGGGGTGGGGGTGTAGGTTGTGCTGTATAGCCAAACCCTGCCGAGGCAGAGTCTGCGCCTTAATGGACCTTGCTTGCCCTGGCTAGCAGGGCATAGCAGGGTGGATCTGGAGTGAGACCTGCCTTTCTAAGGTGCAGTCTTGGAAGGTGCCAACTACAGTCCCAAAGGACAAGTCCTGCCCAGTCCTGAATGGAGAAAAAGTATCCTTGGTGGGGATCACGCCTGTGGGGGTGCTTCTTGTCCCCAGGGACACCTGTCTGTAAAGTGGGTCCCCACAGGCTCACCTGGCCCTGCGAGGGCCAGACACGGTCCGGGTCTCCTGCCAGCCAGTCTGGTTCTGTCTTGAGTCCTCCTCCTGGCCTGCATGCCCCGACCCTTTCCCCGCAGCACCTCAGCTGGACACCTGATGCCTCTCTGCCTCTTCCTAGTTCATCAGCCCACACCACTGCACAGAGACCTGGACACCCCTGCCTCTGGGGATGAGGGGGAGATCCTGTCAGCAGAGGGGCCACCGGGCCAGGAACTGGACCCCAGCCATGGGGAGCAGGACACAGCTACCACAGATGCCCAGGAGCCTCTGCCGTCCAGTGGGGATGAAGAGTCCCTCATCCCTGCAGAGGAGCAAGTATCTCAGAAGACCCCCAGCATCACCCCCCGCCACCCCACTGAGGAAGCACAGCAGGCCTTCAGCCCTAGCAGCACAGGGACAGGGACTGGGACAGGCACGGTAACAACCGCATCTGTGGAGGTGACCACTCCAGTGCCCATACCACAGAGGAGGGGCCGCTTCAAAGGGCTGAATGGTCGCCACTTCCAGCAACAGGAGCCCAACACCCTCAGGCCGGAGGGGACCAGCACCCTGCCACTGCCCCCAGGGGATTCTGGGAACCACATAGAACTCCCCTCCATCACAGAGGCCTGGGGGAACAGCCGGAGTGGGGGTCCCTGGGACATTTTGACCAATGAGGTGAACGTCCTTGGTGCAGGTGAGTCTGGGGTGGGGACTTGGGGAGGGAGGACAGACATGGCTGTCCTCAGGACAGGGGAGGGAGCTGCAAGTCCCAGCTGGTTCCCTGACCTCAGCCAGCCCCAGAAATCCCTTGGCTTCTTCCCAGGGGCCAGAGAGCTGCTCAGCAGCTACTGTGATCTAGTTGACATATCAGTGTGTTGATGCCGTTGCAGGTCCCCCTGGTGGCAGGAGCCCCCCAGAACCCTGGCTGTGGCCCCTGACTGAGACCCCACCCAGCACCCCCGTGCCAAGTGGGATGCTTGACCTGAAGCCGGAAGACACCGAGGTCCCCACTGTGCAGCCAGCCACTTCCAGCCCCCCCTGGTCCTCCTTGGAGCCCACTGTCCCAGCCCCCAGCGCCATTGAGGGCCCCAGTGCTGCCTCTGGGGAGCCGGCAGACACAGTCATGTCCCCAGACTTCCCCATTGTGGCCATGCTGCGTGCCCCCAAAATGAGTCTCCTGCCAGCCTCTCCACTTGCCCCCACTGAAGCCATGTCCTCTGCCCTCCCCTCGCCAGCCTCAGAGAGCGGGGTGCATTCCCTGCCCCCCTCCTGGGGCTCAAGGGGACAGGGCAGGGAGACCCCTGGTGTGACAGTGAGTCACCACACAGCAGGGAGTTTCATGGTCCCTTCTCAGGCAGCCACAGACACACATGCTAGGACCCGCCCTGCCCCGGACTTTGGAGAAACTGAGGTGACCAGCCTTCCTGGGCTCAGCACAGCTGAGCCCCCTAGCCCCAGCCAGTGGTTTTCTGTGGATGGGAATGTGACAGTAGACATTGTCCCCATAGAGCACACAGACATCAGTGGTATCTTGGGGTCTGGGTCTGGGGTCCCTGATCCACCAGAAAACCCCACTTCCAGCCTGCAGACCACTGTGGTGCCAGACACCTGGTCCTCACCGCACGGTGAAAGGCAGGACCCCAGCCCCCCATTGGCACCTGTGAGGAACCCTGAAGTCACCTTGTCTTTGGTGCCAGGGGCAGCTACAGAGGAAGAGGCTACTATGGGTCCCAGCAAGTCCCCGGCCACACCACTCCCCAGGGAGACTGGCAGTGTCTGGTCATCTGTGTCCCACATGGCCAGAGAAGCCCAGAGCCCCGCCTCGCACCCTTCAGTGACTGCAGATTCAAGTATGGTGATATCTGCTGCACCCCTAGACCAGGTGACCCAGGTTGTGGTCCTTGACACATCTGCGTTGTCCTCTTTGAGCTCCCAGCCCCACCCAGAGCCAGAGGGCCAGCTGGTAGCTGAAGGGACACAGAAACCCGCAGCCCCTCCACCTCCAGGCAGCCCCCTGGAGAAACCAGCTCTTTCCCCTTGGACAACCCCCACATCTGGTGTGGAAGAGGCTGCCTCAGTTTCCTCAGGAGAGTTTGAAGTGGCCTGGGATGCCCCCAACACCCTGCTGCCTGTCCCCCTGGGCACGGAGGAGTCAGAGCTGGAAGTGCTGGCTGGAAGCCCAGGCCTGGAGGGCTTCTGGGAAGAGGCGGCAAGCGGAGAGGAGCCAGCCTTGCCAGGGACACCTGAGAACGGGACTGCGGAGGACGGTAGGTTCCGGTCCACACTCCACATTCAGTGGCCAGGGCTTGTGAACCAGAGAGTGGCTGGAGGACCCCAGAGCAGAAAAGATGAGCCTTCGCACTCAGCTGCATCCCTATCCCTTTTTCTATTTTCTATTTTGAGACACGGTCTTGGCAAATTGTCCAGGCTGAGCTTGGATTTGTGATCCTCCTGCTTCAGCCTTCCACATAACGGGAACCACGTGTGTGGCTGACTGGCTTCTCTTTTGAAAAGAAAGTATCTCAATGACGGACAGCAAAGGCATACCTGCTGCTCTGGGCCATGTTGGGGGCCATATCCCCCTTCCCTCAATGCCGGGAGGCTGGCAGACACAGAAGAGGGGCTTCTCTATCAAAAAAAGGTTGCTATTATCTGGTGTCACCTGCTTGGTTGGCTGGGTCCAAACGCTGAAAAAGACCTTGGTAATCCTTTGTGTGTCCTTGTGAGGCAAGTTCTCACTGTACAGATGGGGAGACTGAGGCACAGGGAGGCCAGGTGATGTGTAGTGCTGGCCACAGAGTGGAGGCTGCAGTGTGAACCCGGACTGTCTTCAGGCAGCATGTCTATCCCAGTTGCCGGGCTGGACGATGATGCCAAGGATGCTGGGGGGGCCAAGTTCAAGGGTGTGAAAGAGACCCCGGATGGGGGCACTGGAGAGCTGGCAGGGAGGCGCATGTGCAGTGGCGCGGAGGGTGAGGGGCAGGAAGGAGCTCAGGGCTGACCCTCCCCCATCTCCACCCCTAGACCCTACCAGACTGGCTGGGTGGGCCTTGACCTCCGCCTACCCACATCTTGGCTCCAGGCTGTCGGCCTCATGGAGGAGGCAGGCAGTGCCAGGGGACACCCAGCCGCCTCCCCACCCTCTTCCTGAGCTAAAATGCTAATGAAGCCAAAAATAAACGCAGCATCCGCGGGCGACTGAGTCACCGCCAGCCCGTGGGCAGGTGTCGCAGCGCGGGGCACCTGGTGGGCTCACGCGTGCGCACACACGTGCCTAGGCCGCATCAGGCCACGGGGTCGCGCGTCTGGGCACACACGCTGCCCTGCAAGGTCAGGGTGCGGGCCCCCAGCATTCTGATCCCTGAGAGCCACAGCACACTTTGGACACGGTCCAGGGACAGAGCGGGCTGTCGGCAATCGCTCGACAGGCTGGTGGTTGACAGAGGAGCTGCGGGTTTTACTTTTATTCATTTTAATTAACTTAAGCGTGAATGGCTGTATGTGGTTGCCATATGGAACTTCACTGCTCTGGGGAGAGATATGGACAGTAAACAATAATCACAGTTTTAAAGGGACATCATTTTGGAGCTGGGTGCGATGGTGCTCGTCTGTCATCTCGGCACTCTGGGAGGCTGAGGCGGGAGGGTCACAAGTTCAGCCTCAGCCTGGGCATTTTAGTGAGATCCTGATTCAAATACAAAATGGGGCTGGGGAGGTAGCTCGGTGGTTTAAGTGCCTGCCTGGCAAGCTCAAGAACTCGGGTTTGGTCCCCGTAGGGCATGCTGTGCCACCCCAGACGTGGTGGTGCACGCCTGTAATCTCAGCGCTGGGGAAACTGAGACAGGAGAATCACTACGGGTACGAGTCTGAGCCTGTGCTGTGTAGCAAGACCCTGTACCAAATAAATAAATAACTAGATAGATAGATAGATAGATAGATAGATAGATAGATAAAAATACAAAATAAAAAAGGCTGCGGATGTCGCTCAGTGGTGAGCACTTGCCTGGCATGTGCAAAGCCCTGGCTGCATATTCAGGACTGCAAAAAATAAGGGTTAAATATCAAACTATTAGAAACAACAGTAGAACAGAAAAGGAAACCACATGGAGGTGTGCAGATGGGTGGAAGCTTTGGAAGGGAGGGTCCTCTAAATATGGGCAAGAGTGGGGAGGGGAAGGCGGGGCCATGCAGAGATGCGGGAGGGTTCCCAATAACTGGGGCAGGACGTGCTGGGTGTGCTGGAGACCGGGGCCACCGTGGCTGGAGGGCAGTAGATGAGGGGGAAGGGAGAGGAGGTGACGCTGGGAGAGACCAGAGAAAATTGCACATGCCCCGAGGACTACAGTACGGACCTCAGGTTTTCTTTTACTGGGAACTGGGTGCCATAGAGGCATCTAGTCAGAGGAGGGAGTGATCTGACACAGGTTTGTGTGAGCTCCTCTGAGGGCTGTGGAAGTAACAGCCTGGGAGCGGGTGAAGCTGAGGTCGGGACAGCAAGGGGAAGGGGACAGCTTGACACTGGCTGAATTTCCCATGAGGCCACAGGCCAGGGCAAAAAGGAAGTAAATTCTACATGAGCCAGGGCAGACAGAGGCCCTGAGCCAGGCGCCTGGAGGCCCAGACGCCGTCCTGGGCTTGTGTCCTGCTTGCTGGGTGACACCTCTGTGCCTTGGTTGTAGACATCTCCTGGATGGACCAGGGGCGCTGGCGAGGTCCACAAGATTCCAACATACCCTGCGGTCGGGATTGGGAGAGATGGGTGAACTTTTTATTCCGTTACAGACGAGGCAACTGAAATTCGGAGAAGCGACTTGCCGAGGGTCCTCTAGGGAGCGGCGGAGCTGGTGGACTCTGAACCAGGCCTCCCAGACTCTGCGGCCTGAAGTGGGAGCCTTGATAGCTCCCCTCCTCACTGTGTCCTAACCACTAAGGTTGCCTCAAAAGAGGTTGAGCCAACAGAATGAAGAAGGGGATTTCTTTATTCTTTGTAATTCTATTCAGACCCCACCTGGAAACTTGTGTCCCCTGCACCCCAAATTTTGAGAATAGTGAGGAGTAGGGAATGTCCAGAAGAGAACAAGTCAGATGGGGCTGGGAGGAGAGTGCCCAAAACAGAGGAGGCCTATGTTATGAGCATCATGGAGGGCGCTCCAGAGGGTGGGTGATGAGAGGGGCCCTGGGGGCCTGAGGTCCTCACACCAGCCTCCGCCCACAGTTCCCTCCGACCCCTGCGAGAACAACCCCTGCCTGCATGGTGGAACCTGCAACACGAATGGCACTGTGTATGGCTGCAGCTGTGACCAGGGCTTTGCTGGGGAGAACTGCGAGATTGGTAAGTGCTCTAGGCTCCGATTTGTTCATTTCCAGCCCCCGAGGATCTCTTCCCTGTAACCCCTTCCTCAGGACTAGGGTCAAAAAAGGCTCTCATGTCTGCAAAGTGGGGCTGGGGAAGGGACATGGCCCTGACTCTGCCTGGCAAAGCCAGGACACAGGCACCACCACTGCCATCAGTGTGGCTGCTTACTTCAGAGCCCAACAGAGGAAATGCTACACATGAGATTAAAACAATAGATGTAAATGACATAATTTCCTGAACTGTATATATGGTCTCTTTGACTTCATAACCACACTACTGATTCTAGAATGATTGGGCCAGGGAGATAGCTCATGGGCTGGGGAGACAGCTCAGTGGCATAAGCACCTGCCTGGCAAGTGCAAGGTCCTGAGTGCAATCCCCAGTACTACCAAACAAACAAACAGAAAGAATGATCACCATAAAGGACATAACTTCTCACCTCTCCACTCACAATTACTCTTTTTTTTTAAAATTTATTTACTTATGTGTGTATGTGTGTGTGGCCAGCTCAGCCCACCAGGGGGCGGGGCTGGCTGGCATGTGGTCCTGGGGGATTGAACCGTGGTCCCTGTGCTTTGCTAAACTTGTTCTAAGTAGGTGCTTTAGACCACTGAGCCATCTCACCAGCCCTCACAATTACTCTTAAGATACTGCTATTGTATCTGTAAGAGAAACAGCCTCAGAGAAGAGACAAAACTTGCTCAGTGTCCTACGTGCCTGAGTTACTATCTACATAGGGATTGGTGGGAAGGAAATGGGCATGGATTATTCTGAGCCGGGAAAGATCTGCTGCTGGTCCTCCCTAATTCAGCACCAGGGCTACCTTGCTCATTAATACTAATTTATGTTAATTATGTGAGGCTCCACCTCCGGCTACAGGCATTGGACCATAGGTGAAGGCTCCTGTCTGTCACGGATGACTCGTTTCTCCCTGATTCCCATGGGGGCTGGAGCCAAGGTGAGGCTGCCTTTTCACTTGTGCCCTCTGTCCCTGCCAGATATCGATGACTGTGCCTGCAGCCCCTGTGAGAACGGAGGCACCTGTATCGACGAGGTCAACAGTTTTGTCTGCCTCTGCCTCCCCAGCTACGGGGGTAGCCTGTGTGAGAAAGGTGAGTCTCCATGGGGCCCCCGATCTCTGCCTCTGCGTCCACGGCTGTGGGTCCCACAGATGTTGCCCAGGTTTTTATATCAAATTCCTGGGTTCAAGTGTTCATCCTGCCTCAGCCTCCGGAATAGCGGGGACTGCAGGCACACGTCACTATGCCAAGCACCAGCCTTGCGAACGCGTGCGGCTCTGTGTGGCAGAGTCAGTTGACGCTGTTGTGCAAGCGTCCTGTCCCTGTGGTTGTCATTCTTCATTGCTATCCTACACCCTTGGCGGCCGCTGCTCTGCTTTCTGTGTGTATGGATCTGCCTGTTCTGGACATTTCATAGAACTGAACTCATAATCAGTGTCCTGTTGTGTCTGGCTTCATTCGCTTACCACATTTCCATGCATCATCCGGGTTGTAACGTGAATCAATGCTTCATTCCTTTTTCTTTTCTTTTTTCTTTCTTTCTTTTTTTTTTTTTTTTTTTTGGATCAGGGATTGGACTCAGGACCCTGTGCTTGCCAGACAAGCACTTATTCTACTGAGTTATCTCCCCGGCCCCTTCTTCATTCCTTTTTATGGTTACATAATATGCCTCTGCGTGCCCATCCTACATTCCGTTTATCCATCACCTGGTGGGCAGTTGCCTTGTGTCCCCCTTGTGGCCAATTTAAGTAACGCTGCTATGAGCATTTTTAAGACTTTATTTGGTATAGGGTCTCGCTAAGCAGCTCTGACCTGTAGTAATCTTCCTGTTTTTAGCCTCCCCAGAGCTGAGATTACAGGCATGCACCACCATGCCTGGTTTTGCAGGCTGGCTCAGCATGCTTCGGTAGTGGGGGTTGAACCTGGGTCCTTGTGCGTGCCAGGCAGGCACTTAGACCGTCGAGCTATCTCCTCAGCCTTGAGCATATTTTATTTTATTTTTCTTATTTTTGTCCTTGTGAGACAGGGTCCGATCTACAGGGGGCTTGCCTTGAGCTCATTTTGTAGCCCAAGCTGGTCTGGAACTCACACTGATCCTCCTGCCTCAGCCGCCTGAGTGCTGGGATTACAGGCGTGCACCAGCATGCCTGGCCCCCCATTCTTTTTCAATCTCTTTTGCTTCAGAAGCTGCCAAGCTGTGCTCCACCACGGCCACGCTATTTTCTGTTCTCACCACTAATGCCAAGTGATCTACTTTTTCACATCTCCCAACAATCACTTTCCCTCCTCCTTTTTGTTGGTAGAACAACCTAGTGGGTACAAAGTCATTACCTCATTGCAATTATTTTTCTTTTTTTTTTTTTTTTTTTTTTTTTCCCGGTACCAGGGATTGGACCCTGCACTTGCCAGGCAAGTGCTTATTCTACTGAGCTATCTCCCCAGGCCCCCTCATTGCGGTTCTGATCTGCACTTCCTAATGAGTTATGATGAGCATAGGATAAGATATGATGAAAAAGATGGTGAATGCTTAAGGAAAAAAATATTATGGCGAAAGACACACTGCCATGAATCCACCTCGAAATCCTGCCCTGCCCTTGGCACGCACTTACCCCATGTCTGGGTTTCTCTCTGCAGCAGCAGCAGCAGCAGCTGCAGCAGCAGCACAGGAGCCCTTCCTGAGGGCTTTTAGTCACCTACCCTGAGTCGACTCCACCATTTCCTGTCAAGTTCATATTGCCTTGGGGAGGAGCCGCAGATTACTGCGGGCCAGATCCAGGGAATAAACCGGATGAGGGCCAGCCTTGAGGTTTTTAACCATTTCACCTCCATACTGGCTTGCGCATCCTCCCAGCACCACGGTTGCCGGACTTTTTGAACATACCGCCTAAAGACACTCAGAAAAGAGGACTCTTGAATGACTTAAGGAAGTGGCAAGGGGGCCCGGGAGATGGTTCAGTAGAATAAGCGCTTCGCTGGCAAACGCAAGAGCCTGAGTTTAATCCCCGTTCCAAAAAAAAAAAAAAAAAAAAGGCTGAGGCAGGAGGATCACCTAGAGTTCAGGGCCAGTCTGAGCTACATAGTGAGACTTTGTATCAAAAAAAAAAAAAAAACACAACAAAAAACCACCCAAAACACAAACAAAAAGGGCGGATCACAGAAAGCGGTGGAATGATGGCATCCGTGAGTTTAAAGAAAGGGGATTTTTGAGGGGGATTCATGGCAATGTCTTTTTTTATTTTTTATTTTATTTTAATTTTATTTTTGGCAAAGTGTCTTTTTTAAAAATGTGTTTCACTGTTTTTTTTTTTTGTTTGTTTTGTTTTGTTTTGTTTTTCTGTACCAGAGATTGAACTCGGGACCTTGTGCTTGCCAGGCAGGAACTTCTGCCACTGAGCTATATCCCCAGCCCACTGTAATAACTGTTTATAAAGTTTTCTTATGTAGTACAGGGTCTACAGGGTCTCACTACGTAGAGCGGACTCAGTAGCGATTCTTCTGTTTTCCGCCTCCCAAGGCGCTCGCCACCATACCCAGTCTCAAACGCGGTCTCAGCGTGCCCTAGGGGCGGGGCCGGCAGGGCGGGGCTGGCACCGCTCGCCCGGGATGGAACCCCTGCCGCTGCTGCAATAATTTTTTATTTTTTTAGCAGAATATATTTATTGAGGGAAAGAAAGCTCCTGTCTGAGAGAGGGGCAGGAGGGGGTCCTGAGTGGGTTGTCCCTCAATTTTTTAAATTGTAAGTATTTACCACACATTGTTAGCGCCCCCTGTGTTTTCCCACGCACCCTGGCCATTTATCTATCTCTTCGTCTGTCCAAGCTCTTTGCTAGCCGGGAGATTTTAGGACTTCCCGAGACTCCTTCCCAAGCGCCCCTGCTCCTCTGGAGGTGGCCCCGCAAGGGGCAGGACCGAAAGCCCTAGAGGTGGTGTGACACCATGGGTGTGGTGCTCTTCCATTGTAACCTCTCCCGGCAACAGAAAAAGGAATTTTAAACTAGGTGTGAGGGCCCACACCTGTAATCGGAACCTTCTTGGGAGGCTGAGGCAGGATGATTTCCAGATTCTAGAGAAGTCTGGGCAATTTAGGGATTTAGCAAGACTGCATCTAAAAATAAGAGGGCTGGGAAAGTAGCGCAGCCTCAGGCCCCTGGGTTTCATCGCCAGTACCGGAAAAAAAAAAAAAATTAATATGGGAACGGGAGGTGACAGGGCAAGGTGGCCGGCTCTCCCAACGGGGAGGATGACCCAGCCTCAGCGACCTCACCCTCCCTGGCCCTGCAGACACGGAAGGCTGTGACCGCGGCTGGCACAAGTTCCAGGGCCACTGCTACCGCTACTTCGCGCACCGGCGGGCGTGGGAGGAGGCGGAGCGGGACTGTCGCCGCCGCGCCGGCCACCTGACCAGCGTCCACTCCCCGGAGGAGCACAATTTCATTAACAGTAGGGGCCGCGGGGACGGGAGGGCCCCCGCCCCGCCCCCAGAAGCCTAGAGCTCGGTGCCCCTGCTGGAGTGCCAGGACCCCGCCTCCTTACCCCCCTGGGGCCAGGAGCCACGGGTCGCTCCCCTTCCGCGAGCCATCCCAGGAGGCGTGGGGGGGGGTCCTGGATCCTCGCTTCCGCCCCCCAGCACCACCCCACCGGGCTGGGCAGTGAGGGTCCTTCCCTCCGCAGCAAGCAAAGTCTGGGGTGGTCCCCTTCTGGGTTGAACCCCTCCCACACTCGGACCTCCCCCCCCACCATTCCCCGAAGCCCCATTTCCCTCCCTCCCTCCCGGACCCCCCTGGGGGAGGGGCTCTGCCCTCACGACCCCGCCCCGCAGGCTTCGGGCACGAAAACACGTGGATCGGCCTGAACGACAGGATCGTAGAGCGCGACTTCCAGTGGACGGACAACACGGGGCTGGTGAGTGGCCGACCCTGCCCTCCTCCGCCGGGCCACCTGGGGCGTGGCCTCTGGCCTCAGTTTACTGTCTTGTTGAAAGTGAACACAGCTGGGCAGCCGAGGTCTGCAGGGCTCTGGGGCTCTGGAGTTGGCATCCGGTTCCCTGAGACTCCCGCCCCCGCCGTTCCTTCCTCACATCCTGTCGCTGCAGCGCTCCTAGGATCCAGGATCCTGTCTGCAGCCCTGACCCTACCCTGCCTGGCAGCCGTGGGACCTGGTGGATGCTGGGATGGATCCCAGGGCCTTGGGCATGCTGGCAGGTGCTCACCTCAGAGCTACTCCGCAGAGCTTTCAGATACGGTCTTACTAAGTTGCCCAGGCAGCCCCAAAACTTGAAGTCCTCCTGCTTCAGCCTCCTCAGTAGCTGGGATGATAAATCTGGGTGCCTGCACTAGTTTGGAAATTTTTTTTGAGAGACAGAGTCTCACCGTGTTACAACTAGCCTTATACACTAGTGGGATCTCACTGTGGTGACCCAGCTTTTTTCTCCATTCCTGGGTAAAGCAGTCCTCCTGCCTCAGCCTCCCAAGGCCTAGGACTATGGGCACATCATCAAATATGGCTGGGAAATTTGCTTGCCAATATTGTGGTGAAATTTACACACCACAAAACTAACCTTTTTGTTTGTTTGGTTTCTGAGACAGGGTCTTGATATGTAGTCTAGGACCTTTAACTCACTGTGTAATCCCAGCCTGGGCTAGAACTTGTGGTGATCCTCCTGCGTCAACCTCCCAAGTGCTGGAATTACAGGCATGCACCACCACCGCTGGCTAGACTAACCATGTTTTTGTTCTTTTTTTATTAGTAGTACATGATTACAGAAAGTAACATAATCATAACAAATTAAGTAACATTTAGTACTTTTTTTTTTTTTTTTTTTTTTTTTTTTTTTTTTGGTACCGAGAATCGAAATCAGAGCATTTTCATTACCTCCCATAAGGACTTTTTAGAAACTCACCCCTTGGGATTGACCTGAAGCTCAGTGGCAGAGCACTTGCCTCGCATGCATGAGGCCCTGGGTCTACTCCCAGCCCATGGAGAAAGAAATGAAAAAGAAAAATTGAGGGGCCGGGGAGATGCCTCAGTGGAATAAGCACTTCCCTGG